AAGAATACTCCGAAGTTTTTAAAATGCTTGCGGCACGCTCTGTGCACTTCTCTCTGCTCGATAGGGCTTGGTGCGGGGAGGGGGAAAAAGTGGTGAAATATTTGCTCTGAAGTAAATGTTAAACTTCTGTCATTTCTTACTTCGGACTTTGGCCTTGTAAAGTTGGGGGCTTACCAACATTAATATTGGCTTTCTCTCTCTCTCTTTTTGTATGTGTATATATATATATATATATGGGTTTTTTTTTTTCCAGTGGAAACTTGGAGTTAATGGGCACTGATAGTACTTTAAAGTAGGTATTTCACTTCAGTATGTATGTGTATAAAAGAAATATTCGCCCATGATATCTCATCCCTTCTCCTCCTGTTACTCATTCTGGTTCTTATCTAATAGTCTTTTACTTCCTTTGATGATGAAAGACTCCCAAACGCTTTCAACTCCTCCTAAGTGGAGATTGAATTGTCAGGATTCGGTAGTTGTGAGGAGGGAGGGATATAAAACTTGAAGCTCCTATTTATTTTTAGTAATAAAGCTTTGCCTAAGTAATGAAACATTTTGCATTAAGAAACGCACAATTTGGCTGTTCAGCATTGGCACATGGTGTGGCTGCTGTGATAGAATTGTCTATTTCTTCTGTCAGCCCAGATCTCTGCTGCTGCAGAAGTCCATTTTCTCAACTCGTGCTTTTCTGGAAGGCAAGAAATCTCACAGGTTCTCAGTATCAGGCTATCAAAGATCCTTTATTGTATTCTCAGGCCTAATTCTGACATTTAGAGTGATGCTCCAGTGAAACACAGGTAATGATGAAGGTTTGTTACTTTGTAAAGCTCTCTAAAACATTTGACACACCACGGTGTGTTGGCAGGTGAGAGCCAGGAATTAGTCCTGAGCAAAAGATAAGGGTGAAAGAAAAAAAATGCAACCCAGAGATACATACTTTTTTTAAAAAGGAAGCATCTGAACTCCTTAAGCAGATCTTTACAGAATTAAACCTCAGGAAATTTTGGGTTCTCTATTACTTTCCTTCTGCATGGGCCTCATACAACCCCGGCTTAAAACAACAGCTTTGTGACCCTTTGGCACTTGAATCACTGTGGCTACTTCTGTAACTTGGTTGTACCAGCACAGCTTCCTGCATAACCATGCATGGTGAACCAATTCRGGTGAGTTGTTCATATGGAAAAATGCGTCTGTGGACAAATACAGATCTTCCCACCTTCCCATTCCTTATTTGTTTCTCTGATCCAACTTGGTGACTGTGCATGTGATGGGTAAGAGATGGGAACAGGAGATTAGGGGGAAGGTATGTTGTAAAGCAGAGTTTGCCACTGACAATGGTGAAGTTCTTTTGAGCAATCAAATGTGGTCCAAGAGTGGTGTTTGCAGCTCTGCTGACTGCTTCTGACCACTTCACATGCTTTCTGTCTGCTGCATCTGCTGCTGCTTTTGTGCTGGCTCTAAGGATTGTGGTTGCTTGACCCTTCAGTGAGTTGCTTGAGTTCACTAAACTGACAGAAAATTCTTTTTTTCTTTTTTTTTTTCTCTTATATTATTGAGTTTTCTGGCAGGTTAGCAAACCAAATGAGTTAACTCAAAATGAAAAGAGGGTCAATGTGGAGAGCATTGAACTCTGCAGCTGAGAGAGGAAGAACAGGACTTTTCCTCCCGGCAGCAGAAAATAGTCCATGTCTGATGGATGCTCCAAGCTTCAGAAAGACAGCCAAGCCAAGCCATGGTCCCCGTGCTGCTGGAGGAAGTGGTCCTGTCTTCTGCTTCTGCTCCCAGTTCTGTGTTTCCAGCCTTCCCATTGTGAGATGATGCAATTTCTCATGTTGTACGGCAAGTTAGAAGGCTTTTGGTGAAACCATAGCCTGCATGTTTCATCTCTTTCTTGTCCAAGCTTGAACAGGGTTCCAGAAGTTGGCAAATAACTCCAACAGGCTGACTCGGGGCTCACCTAACGTGTATTGAAATGTTTGTGCATCTTGTAATATTCAGTGAACTCTACTTTTAAGAAGCAACCAGCAGAGAACCCTAACAGCCTGCTCACTAGTATTAATCCAGAAAATGGAAGAGCTGGTTTAAATTCAAGGGAATTTGGGACCACATCCTCTGCCTGTCTGCTGACAAGCTCGGCAGCTGAGTAAAATGAAGGGTGGGAAGGGAGTAGTGCAGTAGCTGAGCTGTGGAAGCACTCATCTGGGAGGATGAGGTCCGGAGTTCTGCCTCCTGCTGCAAGTTGTTCTTTAAGTATTTTATCCCATTACTACTTGGTGGAAAAAAAAAGTATAAATGGTTCTGTATCCTAGGATGAGAACTGCAGACAAATGTTGTGTGAAGTTTTGTGGCAACTGAGCCCTCTCCATTTTGTGTTCTTTCTGTGTCCTGGGAGTCTTAAAACCTTTTTCTTCTCTCACTTCTCATTTTAGGAAAAAACAAGTTCTAAGAGCTCTTTTCCAGAGATGGGAACATGTGGGTTTGGACCTTCTTGGTAACATTGGGCTTGGATTTCCTGTATTTGGGTTAAATGCTCTAGCTGCTATCCCATTTTGTAGCCTCAGCTCTAGGAAAGGTGGGAGTTAAGATTCTCCAGAGATAGACCATGACTTCTCAATAAAGAAGTTGAATAACCTGTGGCTTGCTTGGGAATCTCAGAACTGGGAAATGCAGTTTCCACAACTTTTAATAAGGAAGTAGCTGAAGTTACATGTTAAATATGGATGCGCCCACTGATTGTCACTGCCTAAGTTCTTCCTGTCCCGCTGTGTCATCCCAACCCTTCCCTAATAGTGAAAACTTTAAAAAAGAAAAAAAGCCCTTAGATCTGAGGGTGACGGTGGCTTTGCAATAGGTTGGCAGACTGACTGCGCTGGAATGGGCGCCAGAGCAAGGAGAGGGTTGGGAGGGTCTGGCTGGGTTCGGGCCGTCCCCTATCAGTGGCAACAAGGTACGTGAATGAGTCCGGCTGTCTTACGAAACGCCACCCTCCACCCACGCTGGCTGTAGCCCAGCTTTGCTGCGTGCCAACTTTAATATGCCTTTCTTAGCAACTTCAGGATCCTAGGTACAGAGCCCTAAGCACGAAAATTGCGAGTTCCTAAGGCTATATTCATTTTCACATATGATAAGTAGAGGGCTTTTCTTTCCGTGAGGGTGGTTGGAACCCTGGCACTGAATGAATTTCACTCTGAGCTATTTAATTATCACTGCTTCTGCAAAACGGTATCGTGTTGATTTCAGAGACTGATTGTGCACATGGACACGTGTAACTTCCAGCACAGAGCGTAAACCTCCCTGGGCAGCAGGGGCCTTTCGGAAAGGCTGGGGCTTCTCTGGATGCCGCGCGGTGCAGTGTTGTAGTTATGCCCAAGTGTTTCCATTGGCCTTGTGCTCTCAACGCAGAGTTTGGTGGAACTATGATGCTAATAAAATTATCTATTAAGTTGCTTTGTTTTGTGACTTTTTTTTTTAGTCAGGTTTTTGAGATTTGATTTATTTGGCTCACAAAAAAAAGGGGGGAGGGAGGCAACAACAAAACACCCATGTCTAGCCCATGTCTATCAATGAGGGGAAGTGCAGAAACCCAAAAGCACTGGAGCTTAACCTAAAAGAAGATACTGTCCGAAGCAGTGAGCTGCCACCATGGTACCCCTTGCTGTTYATACTAAATTGCCTTGACCTTACTTTAATTATACCTTTTTGGCCAGGGGTGAAGTAAGAAGGTAAATGCTGGTGTATTATGAGGCTCCACCCAGCTGAGATAAATATTTAGGTGAGCTGCACCACCTAGTAATGGCATGAAACTGAAACTTGGGAAGAAATTACTTCGGAAGTTTACATATTCTTATGCTTCTACAGCTGTGCTCCTAATCTTTTATTAATGCACCCAAACTGCTCAGTTTAACTCCAAGTTTGTGTGCAGAGGACCCGTTCTAGGAAGCGTCAGTCACTCATGTCCCTGCCCTTCTCTCCCTTCTACCTGTACTTGGAAGTCTCTCCATGCCTTGGGAAGTCAGGGTGGGGCAAACTCTCAGTTACTGTTTTCTCTTGCCTTCCTCCCTTTATTTTCTGTGCTCCGCGGGCCTTGACGTAGTAGAGAAGYTGCCCAGCCTCTTAGTGAGGCCACTCGTGTGGAGGACGAAGGTCTCTGCTGCTTGTCCCTGCTGATTTGCTCCTGGCAACCTTGGGATGGGCTTTGGAAATCAGCTTGTCTTCACTGTGTCCTCATGTCCCCTCCTCTTGGATACACGAGTGATTAGCTTGCTTCTGCCTTCCTGGCCCTGTTTCCTGGTCCTACCATCGCCTGAAATGATGCCTGTCTTTGGTTTGAAACATCTTCTAAACAGACGCCTGTCCCTCCTTTACAGTAGCAGGCAGTGACTGATTAGGGTGACTGTGGGCCATGTTTTGGGATATTCTTGGCTTGTGCCTGTTATAAGAATGTCATGTGTAATTCCCCTAAAGCTTTGCGTGTGACAGTTCTTGCAGAGGAAACCATCTAGCTTGTGAATGGCTTTTACCCTTTTGGGAACCTTTTTTTTTTTTTTTTCTTTCACTCCTGAATTGGGGACAAAATAAACAGAAATCTCCACTCGTCAGCATTTTTGCTTTTAATAGAAGGAGTTGCCAGCATCCTAGAGCCTCCACTGCATATTTCTATGTCAGTGCTGCAYGGTGAGGTAAAGAAAGGGCTGCCACCGCCAGGTTTGGCGTCCTGAGCTGGACTCACTGCCAGAAGTTTTCTCAAGCTACACCCCTCAACAAAAGTTGCTAAGACACCACTTGTGGGATGCAKTAATAACGCTGTGTTTTCAAAGCTAAAATAATGTATGAAACACAGACTTGGACTAAATTTCTAGTATAAAAATGGTTATTTKTCATTCGAACATACGATCCATGGCTTGTTCTCCTTACCTTTCCCAATTAAGTTTTATGATTTTATATACATAGTCTTTTTCCACCTGACAACAGTATTCGAATACATCACTTTGGTAAAAATGAAACGATGCTTTGAGGAGTTGCCAGCATGGTGAGTTACTTTGGCTGGCAGCAGTATCCCTGGATCCTCTGGCTTGTCCTTCCACTGCTTTTAATGGAGCGTTCACACCATGCCATGCAATTCTGTCATATTGTTGATATGCATGGACTGTGCATAGCTGCATTTTACAATAAACAGTGCATTTACAGTCTGATTAGCGAACGCTTGTTAACAGCAAAAAAACAAAACGGGGAATAAACAGAAYTTATTTGGCATCTTTAGAAATGATGGTGGGCGGGGGGGGGAAGGGGGCGGGATGTTCTCTGCACTCTGAAGTTTTTGCCCTCTTTCCAGGCTGTTTTGTGTGCAGGTCCCTGTTCTCTCTCCCCAGCTGAAATGGCCGCAGTTCCCCCTTCATTGGCTGGCCCCGCGCTGTCGTCAGTGGGGCGGTAATGTTGGGACGGGGCTGCCTCGTTATAACCAGCGGCCCCTTTTCCCTTTCCTCTTTGCCCATCCGAGCTCTTGAGTGGTGCTCACAGCCCATAACACAGAGTAAGTATCTTCTCTGTTCTGGTTTGAGTTTCTTGTGTTCGTTTCCAATGTAGTTGTGYGAAAAAGCCCAATATTTCAGCCGATTATTGATATGCACAGCCTTGACTTGACTGTCTGTGGTCTGTGATTTAATTATGATTATGGACTGGACTGGAAACCTGCCTGTTGGGTTTAAGTGTAGAAGATGCTACACGCGAGTATTTATTAGTATTCYTTTCTATGTCCTGTTTTGTCCTACGTGTCTGTATCTAACAGATCCCTTTATTGTAACTTCCACCGTATTCCTCCCTTTTCCTCAAATTTTTGTATCTAGTTTTTATTGTAACTTGACATACCAAATATATATAGTGTAACTGATGGTTTTAATCCCGGCATGTATTTTCACAAGGAATCTGGGAAGTTTGTAACCAAAACGTTTGCAAATTTGCCGTGTGTGTATTTTGTCAGGCACAACTTGAGTAGAAAGTTATTCACCATCTCCAGCTGAAAGTACAGTTATATTTTAACTGCAGTGTATGCATAGTTCATAGTAAACAACTCAGGGCCTTCTTTTTTTGTGTGTTTTATCTTTATACTAATGTATATTTTGTCTTTTTTTTTTAATTTTTTTTCCACTCAGCAATTCAGAGCCTATTTTTGCGTTTTATCTTTGTGTTAATGTCTATTTTGTCTTCTGTTTTCAGTTAGTATTTCTTCGCTTGGCATTTGGCTTGACAGGATCCCTATCAGAGCAGACCCTTTCTTCAACAGGGGGTTAAAACTACACTAGCGACTGTCCCTGCAGCACCCTCCAAACCACGTCCCGGCTCTCGCTGCCTGGAGCCGGGCGCTTGGTTAGGAGTCACGCTCACCGTATGCCTTGAATCACGCCCTCCCTCCGGGTGCAGCTGCTTCCCGCTCCATCGAAGGCCTTGGAGAAGTGGGGTTTCTCCAGGAGGCGGCTCTGGCGCAAGGGGCGGCYGCTCATGGCTTGAATCCGGGTGCAGCAGCCGGCACGGGGCTGGCGCACGTGCCCAGCCGCATCAATCGCCCCAAAATCTCCTTTATGCCACGCCTGTGCTGAGGTCGCTCTTCCCTGCGAAACCATTCCAATTTTCCCCCTTTTTCCCCTTTGGTTGGGGCATCCGCCTCCTGCCCACCGCCCGCCATGGAGCCGTGCCCGTCCTGCAGCGGGGAGGCGGCGGAGCCCGGCGCGTTCCCGCTGCCCGTGGCCCCCGTGCAGGGCGCCGCGCGCGTTGGCCCACGCGGGGCAAGGGCCGGAGCGCCGGGAGTGGCCGCGGCTGCCGCGCGCCGGCGTTGCGACACCGAGGGCGCTTGTTCCACCGGCCAAAGGTCTCCCCTTGTCCGCGAGCCTCCCCGCGGGCGTGAGGCGCCCGGCGCGGCCGAGACTCAGAGCTGGCACCGCCGCGCTCGGCTCGCGCGCCGCCTCGCGCCGCGTCCGTCGTTCCGCCCGCYGCTGCCTCCCCGTTGCTCGAAGGGCTTTAAAGCCGTTTTTGTAGATTTCCTGCGTTATTTGGTGTATGTAACCATTCAGAGCTCGTAGCTTTCTGCTTGAAAATAAGGCGTGCAGCTTGGGCGCAGGACCCCTTTCTGCTTCCCTGAGTGGTTTCTTCTCTGCCCAGTTCCGTGGCATCGGTTGTGTGTGTGATTTACATGTAGMTGGACTATTCTGGCCTATTCCTTGGATAGTTTAGGAAGCCAGCAATCACAGATTCCTGAAATTCAGTGGGGTTTTGTTGCTGTTGCTGCCTTTCTTTTTTTTTTTCAGCTTAAATGGACTCTTCTATTCCCWGGTTGGCTGTATGCTGTCATTTTGGGGATAACAAATCTGAAATAGTGTACATCAGGAAACATATATAGAATATATATAKAGAGAGAAATATACAAGTAGGTCTTAGGTTCCTGCTTCTTCGTTTCTTTAGGAGTGGGAAGGGGTGAAACCGCAGAGCTGAGGAAAGGAGGGCGAGCAGCAGGACCACCCGGCGTCAGGCCGTGCTCGCATCAGGTGGCAGTGAAACTGCYGCCTGCCTTCATGGTAATTAAAGCCACCGAAGCCAGAGAGAGTGTTAATGTTTTCCTAAAACTCGGTGGGATGAGGGAGAGGAGGGAATGTCTGCAGCTCCTTGCCAGGGAGAGCTTTCTGCTTACGAGCCTCCCTGTTGCTCCCCTTGTGCTGCTTCTCGCCTGGCGAGAATCAGGGCTGGAAGTTGGCTTTCCCCACCCAAGGACAATCGGAGCTGGAAGTTGGCTTTCCTGCTTTGTCGCTCTTAAGCTTTCCTTTTCATGAAGAGTGTGTGAAGTAATTTGTGAGTTTGTATGAAGTATGCAGAGATCCTTCAGATATTACTTTTAAGAAGTCCCRAGTTTTCACTATTTATGTCCCTAAATGCTCTAATACAGAACAACTGGTTCTTCACTGCAAGGCTGCCCTTCGCAGCCTTGTGTTCTCCAGGAACTTGCATAGGTTTGCAAGGTGCAAGCTGGTCACTCMTAAGGCTTCCCCCCTCCTCCCCATATATCACAAACTTCTGTRTTTTGGATTTGGAATTACTGTCAATCTGATAAAAGGAAAACCAGGATTACCCTGCTTGTTATTTTTTTTGTTCTGAAGAGACTCTTGGATTCAGTGTTATTATATCACATCTATATCACACTTGATTAAGTGTTTTTTTTTTCCTTGCTCTCCTTCTTTCCTTCTTCCTTGCTTCCTTTCATCCTTCCCTGAAACAAAGTGATGTTCATGCATGTTGTTCAGTGCAGTCTGTGGAACTCTTGCCTCGCTCCTCTCATCCTGGCTGTTTTCCTTCTGTTCTGGTTTTACGCAGACTCATGGCTGATCGRGTGCTTGTGATCGGCAGTGGAGGGAGAGAACACGCTCTGGCCTGGAAGCTGGCCAAGTCTCCACGTGTAAAGCATGTGTATGTTGCACCAGGAAACGCAGGAACAGCTGACAATGGGAAAATTTCAAATTCAGGTAAAAAACTATATATACGTAGTATTTTTAAATGTTATAGCTAAACTTTAAATTATTCCATTAATCAATTTGAAATCTTAGCTGTTTATGTGAAAAGATATGTATTTTTAAAATCTATAAAGTTTTGGACATGTGAAATACATCTTTATAGGTGTAGTGGGAAGAGGTTAAGTAGTAAAAAATGCCTGAGCAAAGCCTTGTGCAACTCCAGCTGAATTTACAAGTGCTGTTGCAGTGGCTAATTCTTTGGATTTGGGGGTGGAGGACACAGTCAAAATTCCATCCGTCTGTGTTGCAGATTCCCCCATGGAGTAGCTTGGGCTTGCTCTAGAGATTCCTGCTTCCCAGCCATCCAGCTGGGCAAGGGTGGTGGTTTAGCTTGGTACGCACTGCAGCCCAACAGCTGTGTGCTGAACAGCTGAAAAAGTTGCCTGAAACAGCCAGCGCTGGCACCTCTCGGAGAGTGGCAGAGCACTGCGGGGGGGAACCACCTTTCCATCACGGAATCACAGAATGGCTGAGGTTGGAAGGGACCTCTAGGGATCAGCCAGTCCAACCCCCTGCTCCAGCAGGGACACCCAGAGCACGGGGCGACATCCAGGTGGGTTTGGAAGATCTCCAGAGAAGGAGACTCCACAGCCTCCCTGGGCAGCCTGTGCCAGGGCTCTGGCACCCTCTCAGGGAAGAAGTTCCTCCTCACCTGGAGATGGAACTGCCTGTGTTGCAGCTTACACCCATTGCCCCTTGTCCTRTCACTGGCCACCACTGAGAAGAGTTTGGCCCCTTTCTCCCTATATTCTCCCCTCAGGTATCTGTACATATTGATCAGATCCCCTCTCAACCTTCTCTTCTCCGGGCTAAACWGGTCTAGCTCGCTTAGKCTTTCCTCATACAATAGATGCTCCAGTTCCTTAATCGTATCATCATATGCATTGAAGCCCTACGATCCCTCAAACCTGTGCTAATTTTCTCACATATAACATTCCAACTTAGGAAAATGTGTCTTTTTCTGTATGTGTGTTTATGATATTTAGAGATTAAGATTATTTTTAATAATAATTTTGGCTGCCTGTTTGGGAGCTTATAACTTTATATATGAAGCTATGAGTGGCTGTAGTTGAAACTGCTCATATTTACCAGTTTGAAAAATCAGGCTTAAGATGTTTCAGACTGAGCATCTAAAATTAGATGCCCTGTTTAAAAATACTTGTCAAAGGTGCTTGCCTGCAGGCACGCAGTGAATCAGTATGAAACCCAGGATAATTACTCAGAAATTCCAGTCTCATGTCCTTTATATACCAGTTCCTGGAAGGATACTTTACACAAGCGACTTAAGTTTCCATTTAAAACATGTGTTTATGTGCAGAACCAAAGTTAATACAGCATGCATATGAATACGAATCATATGCAGCTGTTTTCTGCCTTTATATTTGCATGTCAGTAAAATCTCTTATTATTACCATCTCATGCAGAAACACGAGTCCTGTCGGACTCTTCTACAGCAGATATTTTATCCTATTTAATTCCATTTGTATGTTTAATTACTAACAGTTTAAATATCTCTGTTCAGATTTTCTTTGAGTATTTGCAACAGCATAAGCAGTTGTTTGTTCTGTTTGATCTCTGAGGAGACTGCGGGAGGAAGAGCATCTCAGGAAAGTCAAATGGTTTCCTCTCATCCCGAGGATCAGACAAAAATCTTTGTCCTTCTGCTAAATCGGGTCAATGCCAGTTTGTACAGCCTACAGAATGTTAGTTTTTGTGGGTTTTGTTGTTGTTGTCTTTTCAAGCTTTCTGAAAAACTCTTGAGCTTTTCTCTCACCCTGTTATGCCATAAAAAATACTGCATCTTCAGAAGGCAAAGTATTTGAGTATATGCATAAGAACGCTTGAGCCAGGTCCACAAAATCTACAACGCATGCAGAAATCCTTTTGTTTTTTCYTTTTTTTTTTTYC